AATACATTAAGTGACTTTGGATGATTGCTCTGCCACTGCTTGCTTTTTAAAAAAAAAATCAGTCATTCTCCAGTTTGAAAATGCTTGTCATGCATACACACACAATAAACTTTTTAAAAACTCGTGTACAAGGTGTAATGTCAGTTTTAGGGTATTTGGGTATGTACTCTTATAACTTTTTTTTTTAACAACCAGGTACTTTCAAGTTATCAGAACATTAATGAGTGTTTTTGTTTCATTACAAATTATTTTGATCTAGAACTCATACTTGATTTGATTCTGTTGCTTATATAATTTCTTGTCCTCAGTTCTAAAATGGAAAAACTAAGCTTGTCTTGTTTTTAGGTTTTGTTAGCGTTTTGGGGGGGTTTATGGCTTTTTTTTGTTATGTGTTGTATTTTTCCCCCCATATATTTTCATTGCTGGTTTGTTGGGTAGTTGGGAAGTTGGTTTTTTACCTGATTGCTTTCTTACTGTCCAATTATCTTACAACTTAAACTCATCTGGAATTGCTGCATGGCCTGCCTTGTTAAGTAAGGGTAGGCGCACAGGGTTGTATATGTGTGGCATTATCCTTAAAATAGTGGGCTTGCAAAGTTTTCTTCTATGTAGTTATTGTTTGATGTTAAGTTTTTATGTAGTTCTTAGTTGTAATTCATTCAAGAACAGTTTTTCTGAACAGCATATTTTTAAATGCTAATTAATGACATTTTAGTATTCCAATTTACAAGGTCATTTAATGTCTATTAAAATGAAATAAAACTTCCAGCCTTAAATATTTTTATATTAAAGATGGTGTCAAAATAACCTGCCATTCATTTTTGATGAAGCTATTTATTGTCCAAATAATTGGATTATTAGATTATCTTTTTGAAGGCTGATAATTTGAGTAAAAGTACTGGTGGTAAGCCTGGGAACAGGGAATCCTCTCTCCTCGAAAAATGGGTCTATTAATGCTTTTTAAAAATGCTTATCCTTTCCTTCACAATGCTTATTTCAGTTTGCAGTTCCATACTTCATATTTTATTTATTTCTATGATTAATTTGTCAGTGTCTGTATCTTCTCATAAACTGCATATAACTTTGTGTTGGGGCCAATCATCTTATCCTCATTTTTTAATATTTGGCATGTTGGTTGGCTTTTGTAAATATCAAGACATGCAGGACTTGTGATGGGCCAGTCACTGTCTAAGGACTTCAGTGAATATGAACTTGATCCTCATGGCAACCCTATCAGGTAGGTTCTATTACTGTATAACAGGAGAGAAAACTGATTTATGGCACAGGTTGGATAACTTGACCTAAGTCAAAATGAGTGAGTTGTGGAGTAGAGAATTCAAACTCGGGCATCCTGGCTTTGTGTTCTGTGCTGTTATGTCTGTCATTTGAATTAATAGGTTCCTTAAAACATTGGCACATGGCAAGGAAAATTATTAACACTGTGTTTGGTCACCAGGACCACAATTTTAGTTTCCTATATTTTGTTAGAAAATAAATTTATAAAATATGTAGTCCTTTTGCATGGATGGTTTTGGTTATAACAATAAACTCATCATTTGTGATTTGTCAACTCTTAGGGTCTCTAGTCAAAAGCAGTTGAAAAAATATTTTTTTCCATTGCCATTCTTATAGTGATATGTATTTTGTGTGTAACTCATAGATGGGAATTCATATGTACATGTTAGATAAGATGTAATGAAAAAACATCAACTTATCTTTGTTTTTGCCATTAATATGAATTAATTTAGAGTGCAACATAAGAAACAGAAGATTGTAAACCTAGGGACAGATAGCGATGGATCATTTGCATTTTTTGCTTTTGTCTTCTAGGCCAGGTCAGTGGTTATCAAAGTATCAGGTCTAGATCAGCAGTATCAGCATCTTAGAATCTGTGACAAATGCTAATTTTTTTCCTTAACATCAGACCTACTGAATCAAAACTAGGGTGATGTCCCAAAAATTTGCAGTATATTTTGTGTTTCATTGTGACATACAATAAAGTTTGAAAACACTAGCAGCATGAATCTAATTAGGCTTGCTTTTATTTTTTTTACTTTATCAACTTACATATTTTGTTATTAACCTCTTATCAGATAATATAGTTTACAGAAGTATTTTTTCTCCCATTTTGTAGGTTGCCTTTTAAATGTTTCTTTTACTGTGCAAAAGTTTTAAATTTTATTGTAGTCCCATTTGTTGGTTTTTCCTTATGTTATTTGTGCTTTAGTTGTCATATCTAATAAATTCTTGCCAATACCCATGCTAAGAAACTGCTTCTCTACGTTTTTTTCTAGGAGTTTTATAGTATCAGGTCTTATGTTTAAGTCTTTAATTTTGAATTTTTGTGTGTGGTGTAAGATAGGGATCCGATTTCATTGCTCTGCATGAGTTTATCCAGTTTTCCCAGCACGATTTTCCCAAAGTACTCTGTCCCCATGGGACACTCTTGGCTCCCTTGTCAAATATTAGTTGACCATATAAGCAGGGATTAGTTCTGAACTGTACTCCCTTACATTTGTCTGTGTCTATTTTTCTCGCTAGTTACAGTGATGGCAAACCTATGACACGCATGTCAGAGGTGACACGCAAACTCATTTTTTTGGTTGATTTTTCCTTGTTAAATGGCATTTAAATATATAAAATAAATATCAAAAATATAAATCTTTGTTTTACTATGGTTGCAAATATCAAAAAATTTCTATATGTGACACGGCACCAGAGTTAAGTTAGGGTTTTTCAAAATGCTGACACGCCATCACTGCGCTAGTACCATACTGTTTTTTATTGCTGTAGCTTTGTCACACACAAAGTGTGGTACCTCCAGCTTCGATATTTCTCAGGATTGGTTTGGCTATTTGGGGTCTTTTGGGGTTCCATACAAATACAACGATTGTTTTTTTTTTTCTATTTGGTGAAGAATGCCATTGGTATTTTGATGGGGGATTCCATCGAATATGTAGATGACTTTGGGTTGTATGACATTATAGTAGTGTTCTTCCAGTCCATAAGCATGGGATATCTATGCAAATTTTTGATTTTGTTCAGCAAAGTTATGTAGTTTTTGTTATAAAGATTTTTCACTTTCTTGGTTGAGTTTAGTCCTAGGTATTTTATTGTTTTTTGATGTTGTGAATAGGATCGTTTTATTTCTTTTTCAGATGTTTCATCTTTAGTGTATTGAGATGAAACTGATTTCTGTATGTTGATTTTGTATTTAGTAATAATTTTTACTGAAATTATTTTCAGTCTTTTGGTTGAGATAATCTGTGTTTAAAATCTCATCATATGTGAATAATGACAGGTTTACTTCTTCCTTTTCTATTTAGATGCCTTTTATTTCAATGTATTGCCTAACTGCTATAGCTAGTACTTCCGATGCTATATTGAATCAGGGTAGTGGAAGTGGGCATCCTTGTCCTGTTCTTGATGTTAGAGAAAAAGCTTTGTTTTTTTTCTTCATTGAGTGTTATGTTAGCTCATTTTTGGCCTTTATTGTGTTGAAGTGTTTCTTCCATATGCAATTTCCAGAGTGTTTTAATCATTTAAAAAATGTTACATTTTGTCAAATGCTTTTTGCATCTGTTCAGATAGGCGGTGTTTATCCTTCATTTTATTAATATACTGTGTTACATTTATTGATTTGCATATGTAAAACCATTTGGCATTACAGGGATAAATCCATTTGGTCATGGTGTATAATCCTTTTTATTTGTTCACGAATTTGGTTTGCTGATATTTTGTTGAAAATTCTTATATCTCTATCCATCAGGGATATTGATCTATAGTGTTTTTATGATATTCTCAGTAGTGCCCTCAATAAGTTTGGAAGTATTTCCTCTTCCTCAAATTTTTTGAAGAGTTTGAGAAGGATTGGTATTAATTCTTTGCATGTTTGGTAGACTTCACCAGGAAGCCGTCTCTCCTGGAGTTTTCTGTGGAGGGAGGTTTTTGATGACTCATTCAATCTCTTTGCCCATTTGTAGGCTGTTCAGGTTTTCTATTTTTTGGGATTCAGTATTGCTAGGTTGTGTTTCTAGAATTTTATTTATCTCTTCTAGGTTATCTAATTAGCATATAATTTTTCATAATAGTCTCTTATGGTCCTATGTATTCTGTAGAATCAATTGTGTCTTTTCATTTCTAATTTTGAGTATTGCTAGAGACTCATCAACTTTTTTCTTTACAATGAATCAGCTTTCCGTTTCATTGATCCTTTGTATTTTTTTTTCTGATCCCTATTTCATTCATTTCCACTCTGATCGTTATTTCCTTCCTTCTGCTAACTTTGAGGTTAATTTGTTATTTTTTCTAGTTCCTTGAGATATAAAATTAGATTGTTGAGATCTCTGATTTCCTAAAAAATATATTTTATTGATTTTTTACAGAGAGGAAGGGAGAGGGATAGAGAGTTAGAAACATCGATGAGAGAGAAACATCGATCAGCTGCCTCCTGCACACCTCCTACTGGGGACGTGCCCACAACCAAGGTACATGCCCTTGACTGGAATCGAACCTGGGACCTTTCAGTCTGCAGGCCGACGCTCTATCCACTGAGCCAAACCGGTTAGGGCTCTCTGATTTCTTAATAAATGCATTTATCACTTTTAATTTTGTTTTAGGAACTGCTTTTGCTGAATCCCATTATTTTTTATGTTATTGTGGGAAATCAGTGAGATACCCTCTGGTAATATTGAGATATTTAGGAAATGTTTACCCCTAAACTAAGTACTCCCACTGTTTGATTGTTTTGTTGGTTAGCAAGCAAAGGTACCAGGGGAATTTTCTCTTGCAAGTCAAACTTTGAGTGGTCACTTCTTATTGTAGTTAGTGTGCCTGCCTATAAGGGCTTTTTAAATTTTTATTCTCAACTCTTTTTGGCTAATTCAGCCGTGGGCAAACTACGGCCTGCGGGCCGGATCCGGCCCGTTTGAAATGAATAAAACTAAAAAAAAAAAAGACCGTACCCTTTTATGTAATGATCTTTACTTTGAATTTATATTAGTTCACACACTCCATCCATGCTTTTGTTCCGGCCCTCCGGTCCAGTTTAAGAACCCATTGTGGCCCTTGAGTCTAAAAGTTTGCCCACCCGTGGGCTAATTGAACATCCAAGCTTGTTGAAGCTTTAGTCAATTTACCCATAATTCTGGGTCAGTAGTCCCTGCATAAAAGTTTACTGGTGCTGATATAGTTTTATTTAGAGGAGGCAAAAGATTTGTGGCAACGATTTTTTTTTTTTACCTATCACATTTATTATTCAGTAGAGGTGAAGCTATTTAAAGTATATTTGATTTTTCTCTTTAGTAAATACCTAGAAGTGGAATTTTAGAGTCATAAAGTAAGTAAGTATATGTTTAACTTATAAGAAACTGACAAAATTGTTTTTCGAAAGTGGTTATACCATTTTAAATTTCTACCAGACTGTCTGAGAGTTCAAGTTCCATGCCATTTTTTATTTTAAGGAATATTCAATTATTTTGTCTCTTTCTGCCGCAGGGATGGAGTTTTTTGTTTTATTTTGTTAATAACACACATGATGAAGTTATGCATTTTTAAAGAACCTGAACACACTTTGCAGATGAACAAGGTGGAAGTCTAAAATCAAATATGACATGAAAAGAAAGATGAAACACGGATTTTATCCTCAGACTTCCAGTAATACTTTTAATGGATGGCCACTTGGCTGACCTTACTATACCACTTCTTTCAGTGTTTCTGCTGCTGCTTGAATTGTAAAGGCTGCAGTAGAAATGTGTTTCTTTACTTCTGTCCAGGCTGAACGTGGGTCTGCTTTATTTTCAATATCAAACATAGCATCATAGATCCCAGGAAATGATTCTCCAGCATATTTGTTGTGCCTACTTGGAGCAAAGATGATGTGCCTATTAGGAAAAAAAAAAAAAACATAAGACAGGTTGAGCTGAAAACTATACAAATATATCCTATATGCCTTTTTAAAAATGTTCCCTTTTGTTAGATCACACATTAAGTAATCTTTCTCTCCTGGCATTCACTATTATTACTCCAAAATGAAGACATATAATTGATTTGAGATACTTATGTAACAGTATAATTTTAAGCAAAGAAAGGAGCTAAGATCTGTCTCGTAAATCATACCATGTTACCAACCCATATGGTTGGAATGGAACTAAGTTCTTTTAAGTTTGTGCATTAGTTGTCTAACTGCCTAGACTGCCACAGTGTAGAAGGTGTGTTTTATGGGTGTGTGTGTGTGTGTGTACACACACACATTTTATGGGTATATTTAGTGAGACAGAGAGGAGATCGAAAACAGTAATTTATCTTTGTGTTGCCCATTTTCGAGTTTCAATAAGAATGACAGTTGTTCCCAGTACTCTTTAGCCATTAAAAAGCAATACTGAAGAAGCTTGTTATTCCCAAAATATCATAGATGGTAAGGATAATGAAGCCCATTCTACAAAGATAAAACTATTATATATGGGTTGCCCGCAAAGATAGTTAAGTTCTCATATGAAGGAAAGTTTTGCAATAGATTTCCAACTTCATCTCAGTAGCTCAAGCTACATATTTAATGAAAGTTTCATCAGAAATTCTGTCCACTAAAATCCGAGTTTCTTTAAACTATATGAGAATACTGTATGAAAAAATATGGAACTGTATTAAGTCAATGTTAATGATCAAAGATAAATTTATAAGGTTAATTACTTAGATTTCTAAAAGTACATCAGGTTTTATCACTCTTGGCTTTTAAGTCTTGCTATGGTTTCAAATGGCTCTTGTTTACTAAAATGAGTATAAGTGCTACACTGTAAGCATTGACATAGTGACCTATATACAAGTTGAGGTATTAGAAATACGGGTCATAGATAGTCCTCAGTATACTTACCCTCTTCTGGAGAATTGTGAAGGGAGAGTGTAGTAAAACATCATTGACAGAGGAATCAAACCTTGTTTGAATCATTGACCTGGCATCTAATACCTCTGTTGTCTTTGGCAAATTATCTAACTTCTCTAAACTTGCCCCATAGGTGTAAAGATTTACTCTTAGCAACTTTCAAATATGCAATACAGTATTTTTAACTACAGTCATCATTCTGTACATTACAGTCCCATGACTTAAGTTTGTAACTGCGAGTTTGTAACTTTTGACCACCTTCACCCATATGGCACATCCCCCACCCTCTGACAACCACCAATCTCTTCTCTGTATCTACGAGCTTGTTTGTGTGTGTGTGTTGTTTTGTTTTAATTCAATATATATGTGAGATCATATGGTATTACCTGTGTCTGATGTATTTCTGTTCCATTGATTTGTGTGTGTGTGTGTTTCTGCCAATGCCATTCTGTTTTGATTGCTATATCTGTGTAGTATGGTTTGATATCAGGGTGTGTGACACATCTTTGTTCTTTTTTCTTAGGATTGCTTTGGCTATGCGGGGTCTTTTGGTCCCATACAAGTTGAGCACTTTTTGTTCTATTTCTGTGAAAAAATGCCATTGGGGTTTTGATAAATATTGCATTCATTTTGTATATTGCTTTAGGGAATATGGACATTTTAATGATGCTAAATCTTCCCATCCATGAGCATGAACTATTTATTTGAGTCATCTTTAATTTCCTTCAATATTTTATAGTTTTCATTGTACAGGTCTTTTACCTCCATTCTTAAATTTATTCCTAGTGTTTTGTTTATTGCAGCTATAAATTGGATTGTTTTCTTCATTTCTAATAGTTCATTGTTTGTATATAGAAACACAAGTTTTTGTATATTGATTTTTTTTTTACCCTGCAGTGTTAATGAATTTATTAGTCCTAACAGGTTTTGGTAGTCTTCAGGATTTTCTATAGTATGTTGAAGAATAAAAGTGGCATGAATGGCCATCTTTGTCTTATTCCTGAAAAGCTTTCAGCTTTTCACCACTCAGTATATGATAGCAGGCTTGTTTATATATAGCCTTTTATTATGTTGAGAGTTTTTATCCTAAATGGATGTTGAATTTTGTGAAATCCTTTTTCTGCATCTATTGAGATATGACGTTTATCCTTTTAATGTGGTGTATCACATTGATTTGCATATAGTAAACCACCCTGACATCGCTGGAATAAATACCACTTGATCGCGGTGTGTAATTCTTTGAACGTACTTTCAAATTTCATTTCCTAATTATTTTGCGGAGAATTTTTGTACCTATGTTCATCAGGATATTAGCCTCTAATTTTGTTTTCTTCTGATGTCCTTGTCTGGTTTTGGTGTCAGGATAGTGCTGAATTCATAAAATGAGTTTGAAAAGATTAATATGTATTCTTTGATTTCTAGATTGGCCTATTGTTCAGTAGCATGTTTTTTAATCTCCACATATTTGTGAACTTTCCAGTTTTCTCTTGTAATTGATTTCTAGTGTCATACCATTGTGGTTGGGAAATTTGCTTGATATGATTTTAGATGTGTAAAACTTGTTTTGTGGCCTAATATATATCATCTATCCTTAAGAATGTTGAAAAAAAATGTATGTGCACTTAAGAAAAATGTGTTTTCTGTTGCTTTTGGATGGAATATTTTATATATATCACTTAAGGCTGATTTTGTCTGTTAATCTATGCATCCAAGTAAGTATGGTCTTGAAATCACCGATTTATATATATATAGGTGCTCCTATATTGAGTGCATGTATATATATATTTAATTGTTATTTATTCTTGAAGTCTGTCTTGGCTGATATAAGTAGAGCTACTCTGTTTCCTTTTGGTTTCCACATGTATGGTGTATCTTTTTCCATAAGTTTCAGTTTCTGTGAGTCCTTCTCAAGTGAGTTTTGATTGGAAAGTTCACTGTTTAAAGTAAATATTGGTATGCACTCATTGCTGTTATTTTGCTGGCTGTTATCAGTTCTCTGTTGCTTCTCTTGTGGTTTGATGACTATTGGTATGCTTAGCTTTCTTTCTCATTATCATTGTGTATATACTGTAGGTTTTGCTTTGTGACTGCCATGAGGCTAACATACAATAATTTATACTTTTACAAAAATGTATTTACTCTCCCACCAAACACAGATTTTATGGGGTTTTTTTTTGTTTTGTCCTCGTCCAAGGATATGTTTGATTTTTAGAGAGAAAAACATCGATGTTAGTTGCCTCCCATACATGCCTGACCGGGGATCAAATCCGCAACCTTTCGGTGTATGGGATGGCGCTCAAACCAACTGAGCCATTCATTATGTTTTTGGTGTCATATTTTACTACTTTTTTCATGCGTAAAAATGGGCCACGAGACACATAAGAGACTCTGGAGCACGGAAGAAAAGCATAAAGACAGCATCAGCCATCCAGCATGTCTGATTTGGTTTACCGTTAACCCTTAGATGTGTGTTTAGTTGGAAACCTACCCCTCAGGCTGTAGTTGGTAAACTTGTAGGCCTCTTTCACTGGAAGACTGTGCTCCTGGGCCTCATGCAGTGAGGGTGGGAGCTATTTAAGAACTCCTTCTCCATTGGTTACAGTCCTGTGGGACCTGCCAGCATAAGCCCCACTAGCCATCAGAACCAGGCAAGGTAGAGTTGCCCCTGGGCAGTAGCTACACAAATTGTGGTGCCAGACAAAGGGTATGCCCTCCTTTCTGGGAGAAACCACTAAGCTGGAGTGAGGCAGAAGGAGAGCACAAATATTGCTTCCACCAGCTTCCATCCCTGAGAGCAACTCCATATGCTTTCTCAGAAAGACTGGGGTGTGTAGTAACTTGTAGGTGGTGACCTCTAGAACCAAACCTTCCAGGCTGTTCCCTGGGCAGCAGCTATAAAAACCAGGACACGAGATACTGGTGCTTTGCAGCTCCAGAGAGGGAGAGCTTAAACATGGTGCCTGCCTGTAAGAGGAGGAAAAATGGCACCTATCATTTCGAATCAGAAAATCCATATTCTAGTTCACAACACATATGTAAGTGACTTCCAGGGTGTTTTCATCTGAATTAAGATGGTGAAAACTATTCTATAAGGCTGTTTATCATTAAATAACATGTTCACTATGTTGCCTTTCTTACAAATATTAGGATTAGTATTAACATTTAACTAATCCTAATAATAAACACAAGATTTTCAAGTCTAGCTCTGCTACATACTAAATATAACTTGGGCAAATTATTCTTTAAGCTTCAGGTTCCCCCAGAGGTAAATGGAGATTATAGTTGCTTTCACCCCCATAGGCTTGCAGATTTAAGGTATATAGAGGATTTAGCTCAGAGAGACACTCAGTAAATGGCTGCTATTTTTATAAAATCATAAATAATATGAACTTAATGTTTGTTTGATACCAATGAAATATCCATTAGTTAAGTGTTTACAATATATCATTTTAATCCTTTGCCTGTTATTAGTTATTTATAAGCAAAAATTCTAGGTGGAAAAAGAGGCAATTCCTTCAGGGGAAACATGAAAATCATCTTCAAAAACCTAAAATGTTAAATAAAAATAAATCTAGATTTAATCTATTTGATTTTGGAGAACAGAATCAAAGGGGGGAAATTTATAGGAAAAACTTCAAGATTCAAATAGCAGCTGGATGTCTAGATACAGGCACACCTTGGAGACTTTGCAAGTTCAATTCCAGACCACCATAGTAAAGAGAGCTTTGCAGTCTTTTTTATAAATTGAAGGCAAAACCCTCTACCAGCAAAAAGGGCAACATGTGTGAAGCTCAATACAATGAGGTTTGCCTGTATCTGAGATCCTATAGAAAAGATTTCTGCAGAATATTGAACCATATGAGTTATGAGATCCCCTTTAAGATTCTATGACTTTGTTACGAAGAGTTCTTTTTTAACTATCATTTACATCTACAGCAGAGCAATAAACAACATGAAATTATACTGTTTTGCATAAACTTTTTCATGTTCCTCTCTATACACGTATTTATCTTCCACTCACATGATGGCAATAGTTGAAAGCAGTGTCCTTTAATGGAATACCTGCTGCTTCCTTACCTGTAGAACTTCCTCCCAGGTAAACCAAGGGGATCGATGAATGCTCTTTCCAGGAGCATCAGCTGGTCATTCACAATTCTCACTGCCATGGGACTTGGAGAACAAGAAACAGATCATTACACTCTTACCAGGGAGCCATATTTAAAAATATTAAATAAGGATAAGGCTGACCATAATTTGAGTAGCAGTGATTTAGCGCTGAATGCTTTAAAATAGCAGGGCAACTTTACATTGGAAACTTACTTGTTAAGATCCACTTCTGTAAGTCTTCTGTGGAAATCTGAAGCAGCCTCTGAGAAGTTTTGTACAGCAGAAAATAAGGCGTCTTTCCAAAGAAGAAAAGCAAGAGGGAAATAAGTATAAGCGCCTTATCTTTCAGAGGTTCGCTTTCCTGCCCTCCCATTCCAGGTTGAGATGACTGAATAATATTGAAACCATTTTTATACCGAGCCTCTGGCAGAGCCATGGAAATTATTTAAAGTATTGTGACAAAGAAAGTGTCAGGAAATGGCTAAATTGGTTCTTAAGAAAATAACTTTCAAGAATCTAGGGCATATATAATTCACACTGCTACTAAGGACAGTAAGCCCTCACTTCACATCATTGATAGGTAATGTAACTTTAAGCAAGGCAACATATAATGAAACCAGTTTTACCATAGGCTAATTGATAAAAACTAGACTTACAGTCCACAGGCATTTATGTTTTAATGAAACAACACGATTAGAGGACCTACAGGGTAGTACATTCAGTTTAAGTATATTCAATATAAAAAACAAGATTTATTTAGCCCTAGATATTCTATAAACATTCATTTTCGTTGCTGTTTTAAACCACGTATAAATCTAATAGATATTATGGGCACTAAGGACAAAGGGTTGAAATTTCAAAAGAAGCATAGAAATCAAGATAGATGAGAACTGAAGTGTGTTGCTGGAATTTAGTGACACAGGTGAATGAAACTTTGGCAAGAGCAATTTCACTACAATAGTAGGAACATGAAGACAGTGCAGTGGTTTGGTTAATGGGAGGTAAAGAACTGGAGGTGGGGAGTGTAGATCATCCACTTCTTTTATTAAGACATTTGAGGGACTTTTTTTTTCCTGGCACTAAATGAAAAATGTTGATTGTGAAGTAGGGCACATCAGGAGAGGAAATGTTTTTAAGGTAGAAAAGATTATAATAATGTTTGACATTGATAAAGAATCACTAATATGAGATGGAAAGTTTGGAAATATGGGGAGGAAGGTATTAATTAAGGACTAGGTCTTAGCTGTATGGTTTCTCTTATCAATTTGACTTATACAAATTGATAAAAGATAATTTGCCAAGAGGAAATCCGGGCATTTAGGTAGAGAACTGGATGCTGGATAGCCATAGACCTATGGATATCCATCTTGCTGTAGGCCCTGCTATGTCTATATTTTGTCTGTTATGTCTAAACACAGTTTTCTGTCTTTGCTTCATTTATTTCTAGATCTTAGTACCTGCTGCTCATCAGAACTTTCTGAAGAATACTAATTCTTATGTAATAATATTCAAAAGTCATTACTGACCTTTGTGCTCCTATGGTAGTACTTTCTGTGTATCTTTATAATAACTTGTCCCTTGCATTTTGTCTTCTTCCCCACATGAGACTTTAAGCTCTGAGGACAATGACTGCCTTAAACATCCATATGTAGTCCAGGAAATAACAATACTTGGTACACAATAGGCATTCAGTATAAATTTGATAATTACATTATATACTCATATATACTCAGAATAATAAACCAGTAATAATAGGTAACATTTATGAGCATTAAGTGTCAGTCACCATTGTTTCTGTGTCAACTGAATCTCCACAGCAATCTTGGAAACGTATATTGTTTTACCATTTCACTCATAAGAAAATTGACAACACACAGAGGGCTCAAGTAACTTTCCCAAGGTCACACAGTGAATAAATAGAGCCAAGATATGAACCAAACCAATGCTACTACACTATTTTATCCATGTTTTGTAGAACAGCAACCACAAAATGACCAGATAGACAATGAAAGAATGCTTAAAACTGTAAAAATAAAATAAAATCCTCCATGTAGACAAACATTAAAAGACATATGCAGGAATAATTATGTAGTGAAATTGGTTTTCTCTACTTTCCAATATTTGTGTGATGGTATACTGCATCTATATATTAGTCTTATAACAGGGAAAGCCCAACATTTGTAGCACTAACTTTAGCAAAATGGATTCAGCCTATAAATACCAAATTAAATCAGTCTTTACTAGATGTTAAATTTTTTTTTCTAGAAGCCACAACTAATAAGTGAGGCAGGGATAAATTCTAGGATGATACAAAATATCTTAAACCTCTTACAGATTATAGAATACCTGCTCAGTCATTTCTTACCAAATGATACTCCATGGTCTTTCAATTGTTGGTCGTGTTTCTTGGATAAATTGTAGATACTTGTTGCATAGTTTTTCAAAGCTTTTGCATAGTCTTGAATATTGAAAGGAATGATTTGAGAGTCTGCAAGCTCATAAACCAGTGCGCCTCGTAATTGAGCCACAGAGAGCTGTTTTTTAAACGTAGGGTCATAAAAATTTTCTACCAATTCAAACGTCTCATAAATTGTATGGTATACCGGGTAGCTGCTGTACTTATCTGTTTTCTAAAGAAAGGTTGGGGGTGGGGGGAAGAGGGGGAGACCAAGTACAAACATTATATATTCAAATTGATTGCAGAAAATCCAGCTATATGGCACTCTGAGTTTTATTGCAATGAAGCAAAAAAGTTACCATTTATTATATAATTCATGTAATCTTCATTCAAAATACTGCTCGGAAATTCTCCATATTGTATTTCTGATAAGATTAAGGAGTTCATACTCCAATTGCAAAGGAGCACACTTGACAGTTGGGAATGAAAGGTCCTGGGCAGTTTAAGCTCCTTCCCTGTCTCCACAAACAGTGCATAACCAAATGCCATTTACCCTGTGTAAGTATTACCATTATAAAAACATCTCATGTGGTATTCTGTGTAAATATTTTTTTTATTTCTTACGTCTTCCTTTAGTTTTTATGTATCTTCACTGCTATCAGGCTGTCATTTTCACTGCTTTTAGTTATCACTAAAAGGAATATCCTACTGTCTAGTTGGTTTTTAATTTGCATTGTCTTAGAAACTAGGTAACATTGTTCAGAATGATGACAGAGTATAAAAATTAAAGGGCCATGAAAGAGGCAAAGTATTAATGAGTATCACTATACAAATGTATGCCTTTGAGTTATTCTACTTCATTCTTAGTTGTATTCTATATAAGCAAGATATTATATTGCAAATATGATTTGAAAATTATTAAAATCTGACAAATCTACTCAGCTCCTGCCCATTTGCAAAGCTATACATTGCTTTTCTTCGCTCTAAGATTCAGTGTGATTTATGATAATTTATAACATAGGCAAGCAAACATGTTTTATATTGGCATATCTAAGTACTTGCATATCATCAATGTGTTTGAATGGCGATCATGCAAACCAGGATCAAGTTCAAAATTAAAAGAAACCTGTTTTGTTGCCTATTCAAAAGCTTGGACGCAAATGACAGGCAGTATGGGAATGTGAAGAGAGGCTTGTAACAAAGAATCTTAGCCGCATTCCCTGTAACAGAAATGTTCTCCACCAGCACATTTTCTCCAGGAAAAGCACATCAAAACCTACCAGACTAGGAGCGTGAGATTTTCCAACAACGCCTGTGTCAGGAAAAGGATGTGAACTACTACTTAACGCTGATCACTAGCTAAGTCCCTGACATTATTCGGTCAACTACTATAGCACTGAATAACTAGCAATGAAAATCACAAAACAACCCAAATTACTATCTAATCCATTTGCAAAGGGGCATGCAGTCTGTCTATCCCTGAAATTCTTTACAGGCCACATGTCCACCCGGTGCCTGTACCAAACAGTGAAATGACAGAATTCTTAACAAAAAGGATGTGGATGAGGTACTATGTATCCAAAATAAAATGGCTTACCCTATTCTTAGTGTAACGGGCTCTGCCTGACGCAATGCCAAGTCTCTGAAAATAAGCTTCAAAATCGCTTCCAGATCCCAGCTTGTTGATTCTAGATGCAGAATAGAAATACATACACATACAGAGAGAGAATGCATAAGTAATATGAAGTTAAATAGATGGGGCAGTGAATCCCATCCCAAGAATAGAAGGAATTTAATGGCACATTTATAGGATTTAAGAAAAGGTATACCACCCCAAGACACTTTGGTGCTATCTGCTGGATATTCGTGTGATAACCATAAATCTGCATTGACCACAACCAGAGCTTAGCAATGCCACCAAAGACGGCAGTCTAGTGACTGCTGTCTTCCATGTTTTCTGCATTTATGGTATTTGTTTAGAGGGGAAAATAAGATGGTTCCTGCCCTCAGAATTATGGACTAATCAGAAAATGGCAATGAGGAAGTCTAATTACAGTATATTTCTTTGCATATAATTAAGAAACCACTATGCATATACATATGTATTACATGTAATAATGTAATCACATGGAAAACTAGTCATAATAGAACAGAATATAAAATTACATATGCATGAAGAACCTAACTATATACTGCTTCTGAATCTAAATGTGTTTTTTTTCTATTTAAGTATGTGAAACATTTATAATGGAAACACATTTAAACTTTCACAGATGTATTTGGAATATGGAATGAAGCCATAAACCACATCATCTGCTGCTTTTAGAAATAGCATTGAAGTAGAAAATATAAAATGAATTCAGGGAAACTGCTGTATGACTGAGATGAACTAAGAAATACATTAATACTTAAAGTCTAGGTTGCTTAACAGGTATGATTAACAATTTGGTAGTTACTGATAATGCCCATTAATAAATTTAGAAACTAATAATCCATCATTTGTTTTTTTAACTTCATCTTTATCATTTGAAGTTATGTTAAGTATTCAATACATGTCTAAATGAAATTTTGTATAAGAATGCAAAATAATGCTTAATAATGGAGCAAAATAATCTTGACTAAAATCTTGTGAAACTAGATCGCTGCTCTACTGTGGGTTACAAGACTTGGCTGTTCCGGCTGATCAGCACATCAAAGGCTGCACAGAGGAATCCTGTAGGATTGTCTTGACTCAGATTGTTGGTGAGGCACCTGCGCATTGCATGCCTGGGGAAGACAAGGGGCAAGGGGAATTCATAGTCTATCCTGTGGCAGAAAATGTACAAACAAGTACCTTACCTAGGAAGGTCTGTATTTTCAGAGGAAGGGTCTTTTTCCAACCAGCTTTCATAAAGAGATTTACCCTGAAAACCGTCATCGGGGCTGGAGATCTGGAAAGAAATACTGGGAATTAGAAGCAGAAGCAACTAAATTTATGCCAACATAAAACCACATGTTAACATCAACTTCTAACTATATGTATGCTGATGTAGAAAAATATGCTTTTGGAAATAGGAAGAAAAATATCCAGCCCAAATTCTTGTTTATGATGCCTGCCTATTGGTAATTTTGCCTAATAACTAGAATAAAGTTTCCTGCTTAGTTTAGTAAATTTTTACATAGAGGTTCGTATTTTTAATAAATGTCATTTGGCAATTTAAATTCCTTTTAGTAGGAAGTACTGGGGGAGGGAATTAGATATAATATTTACTTTAGAATAAATTGTTTTTGTCTGGGAAGAATTGCAAGAGTCCTTGGGCAACAGATCTAGGTTATGAAGCTGAGCTTGAAACTGTCACTATAAACCTTGGTTTTGTCACCAACCCTGGTGGTGGGTGAAGAGGAATGTTATTTTAGAAAGTCTGATTATATTTTAGTAAAGCTGGGATTTGATATGTCTACATAACCTCAGATTTCTATTTGGGAATATTAAGAGCCTCTGTGTATACATGAACATTTTTATTACCCTCATTAAAAGAATACTTACAAACTTATACTTTGCTTTTCTTTGCTCCAGAAAAAGCAGGGGTATGTGTTGGAAAAATGTGTTTGTGGAGTCTAACATCTAACCATCTCTATTTTAGATCCATATTATCTATCACACGATTTGGTTGCAGTTTGTTCATTTATAACTGCTTTGTTCAAAAATGGACCCAAAGCAGACCCTACTTATCAGCTCAGACACCTTTGGTGTCTTGCTTTAAACCCTAATTTTCTTACCTGTGGAAATGGAGAGAATGGTGCCCATCTCAACTTAATCATCTCTGCTGTCTTCTCTGGCCTTTATACAGAGTTGGTTATTCCCTCATCACCACATAGGAGGTCTTCAGCATACAGTCGAGTTACTACACAGAGGCTTCCCCTCCCTGCTAGCGTGCTGCAGGAAGTTCTGCTCATTTCCAGACAACTGCCTGGGATCTACTCAGCTCCTGCCAATTAGCAATAGCTGAGGACCTGCTCCAGTTCCTACAATCTGCTTGGGTCAATTTCCCTGCAAAATTCTCTATTGTCTGGAATCAAGTCATCTCCGTCTCACACTAACCAGAACCCTGTCCGTTGGGCACCCTGGATCAGATTTTTCTGTCTCGGCTATATGCACTGTCATAGTTGCTGTCCCTCCTCCATTGCATGGACACCTTGTCCCATTTCTTCTATCAGACGGAGACTCTTCTCTTAAGCTCAGCCCTCCCAGCCCGGCCAGTGTAGCTCAGTGGTTGAGCATCAACCTATGAACCAGGAGATCATGGTTCTGTTCCTGGTCAAGGCCCAGGTTGTGGGCTCGATCCCCAATAAGGGGTGTGCAGGAATATGTTTCTCCCCCTCCCTCTCCAAAATAAAAAAATATATATATTTTAAAATGGGTTGGGGGGAAGCTCAGCCTCCCTCCATCTTACCTTATAACACACATTAGAGGTTGATAAGCTTGTAATCATCTGCTTACAGGAGAATAAAAGAGTCCTTTTTCTACTGAGTTTTGGTAGATTTGTCATGCTCCATTTCTCACCATCTTCCCACAACGTACTTTGTGCTTAGGTCCTAGTGAGCTACCTCCGGGTCAGGAAGTATGTTCTTTCACCCACGTCTTTTGAGAGATCTGTGTCCTCTGCTTAAGCCTTCTCCCTCACCTTCACATCCTTCTGTTCTACAGCCTAAGCATTAATTATTCTGTAAACATCCCCTGTTGCTTCCCAACTTCCCCAGCTACCCTGGGACTTTAGGTTCTCTTCCGTAACTGTTCATCATTGTATAGAGTACCCAATATTCCAGGGAACTGTAATTCCTCATTTATGGGTCTGTATCCTCTCTAGATTACAAAGTATTTGGATTCAGTGACCTTGTCATTTTATCATTGTTGCTGCTATAATTTATTTTATGGGACCTGGTAACTAGTAACCACTCAATAAATATTTGTTGAATGAATGAGCAGCCAAGGCAATCTCTGAACTAAGGCTTTTACATTCCAGCTCAGTGGACACAATACAAACTTATTAGAATAGAGACACTAGCAATACTGTCATAATTGTAATGTCACATAGTGTATTAGAGATCTTTGTTCTGACTTATTATTTATACAAATCAGCTATGTCTGTCACCAGTTTAAAAATAAGTACAGCTAGTTAAGAAAAAAAAACTTATTCGCTGTTCCATTCATCAGAAAACATAAGACAGATCTACTTGTATACCTCTTTTGTCAGTTTATACACCAATTGGTAAAGAAGGGGTGTACAGTCAACTCTGAGAGTATAATTGCCTGAAAAATAAAGCAGAGTATTTTAATACTTTCCAATGAAATTCCAATCTATTTAATTTTAACTTTATTTTCTAATTATATAACAAATTTCAATGGGATCACTCCCTGGAAATTAAAAATAGGGTGGAGCCCTGGCCAGATGGTTGATTAGAGCATTGTTCTGATATGCCAAGGTTGTGGGTTCAATCCCCAGGCAGGGCACAAAAATCAATCAATGAATTAATAAATAAGCGGAACAAATTGATCTCTCTCTCATGCCCCCCTTCTTTCTAAAAACCAATAAAAAAGATTTAGGCTGGAAATAGTTCTTCAGGAGCAAGAGAGACTGCAGTGCACTCTTCACAGAAGGTATACGTGGACTTTGGTGGCTAGGACAGCAGCTCCCATGTTGTAAGGGTCATTAATGCAGTGTCTCTTAGAGGGTGTTTAGTGGGGAAAAAAATATATATATAATGGTAAGGCTACAGCGTTCATTCAATTAGTATATAGCAAGACATTAGACAACAGCACGTTTAGAGAGAGTGGAAGAGAGGGATAGAGACAGAAACTTGATGTGAGAAGGGCACATTGATTGGGTTGCCTCCCACATGCGCCCCGACCAGAGCTGGGGACAGAACCTGCAACCAATGTACATGCCCTTGACCAGAGTCAAACCCTCCACCCTTCAGTCTGTGGGCCAACGCTCTAGCCACTGAGCCAAACCAGCTAGGACCAGAAAGTATTTCTGTGTGAAATATTCTGTAAACCACCTCTTCTGAAATATTTTAGCCAAATTCTTTTAATACCTCTATAGGAAGGATGTAGTTAATACTGGAGTTTTAAACAGGAATCCAAATGGTAAATATTCTAAAGAAATTAGGCTCGATAGGTTAGTTATACATTAAATGTACCTTCAATTGATGAATCTGAGTTGACATAAGCGATGCTTCTCTCCTGGAGTATTTTTGCATTCTCCTAAAATTGAAGCAAAGTTGTTACTTAATTCATAATATTACAATTGTGGGAATGGAGACAAAATAAACGAGTATAAAAGTAGTCTGCAAATACTTTATGAATCAAATATCTATGCCTTCGACCATAATTTCTAAAAAATGCTGATAACTGGTTGGTTGACAACATAAATGAAATTAAAACAAGTAAGAAAAAGATTATGCTGCTGTAGATATTTATTTACAGCAATAGAGGCAGCCCCAGAGAAAAAGTGCTTTCAAAGTGTGGTTCTTTGATTCCCTAAACCAGACAGAATATGAAGGGGCGAGGCTCCCAGATTCTGGGCCCCACCCCAGACCTAAGAATTGCTGAAAGCAAGGCCTGGAAATCTGTATTTTCCAAAAGGTGCCCTGGCAATCCTTACATGCACTGAAGTTTGAGATCCACTAATAATGGATACCCACATAAATGTATCATTTTAAGTGAAAAATAAGGAAGTACAAAAAAATTGAAAAATAGAAAATTTCATTTATTTTTTAAAGATAATTAGAAAATATGAACAAAAAAAGAGAAAGAGGAAGGCAGAACAAAACTAGAGGTAGAAAAGGAAGGACCTTTAGGACAAACACAGGACTGTTTCTGACTTTCTCCCTCTCCACACCCCCCCAAGAAAGATTATGTAGAGAAGATGTCACACACAGATGGGAATATGCGAGTGCACCCTTTACTTCTCTCTCACTGCCTTACTTATAAGAACTTATTATAATAAAAAACATTTAAAGCTGTGAGAAGTTATGGCACAAATAAGGACTGCCACTTCTCTGCACTGCCCACACAGGCCACACGATAGTTACCTCTGCTATGGGTAAATATAGGGTTGGAGTTTCCATTATAACAGAGTTAAATTAGAAATAAGGAAGATTTTTTAATTAATAAAGTATGCTGTTGAATATGATGAAAAATATGGTAGAAAACTAGAAACTATTGAAATTATCTTTTCATCAAGTATTTAAATTAATGCAAAGCATAGTATTTTATATCTTAGATTTATTTGATCTTTATTTTAAGCTGCTAAAATTATAGAGACATGTATTTATGTATACATATATTCACATAAAATTACATATTTCTAAATGTAAATGACCTTAATAAAATTTGATTAGTCAACTTTCAAAAAGCATGTTTGTCAAAGCAATGTAATAATAAAACTTTGTGATATAACAATGAGTCAAATGGATAAGTGATAGACCGGTAACTGTGTGTGTGATTTTACCCCCATACTGATTTGATTCATATTATTTTAAAGTAAAGTTAAGAGAAAGTGAGTCAGGAGGAAAGCATTTTAAGAACTAGAGCCAATGTCAAGAAATGTTTGACATATTTCAAACAACCCTATGAAATCTGGACTTATAAAAGATACACAGAGGAAAGTAGAGGGAGAGTAAGTGCTTATATAGTGCACATGCCTTTATAAGAATTATGAGCTTACCTTGTACATTTAAGAACTTAGTTACTTGACAGAGAGGCTAAGGGGAAAAGATGAAAGAAGGTGGCCTAGGAGAGACACTAAAGGATAAAACATTAAGAGCCAGTCACAAATGGAAATCATATCCGAAGAAAAAATAAATCTCAGAAGTTCTAAAGTAAGGAGTTAACTAAAGTAATTCTATGTACAAAATTACCACATATTCAACAATCTGGCACTTCTGTGAATAGTAAAATATACATATGGTTGCAATTTTATATGGAGTCTATACATGTGAAATTATAATCAAAGTCAAGACATCTTAATAGAACTTCTTGTTTTCTTAGAAGAATTCCAAGGAAACATCAAACACTTGAAAAGTGTAAGAGGTTTTAGATAAGTCAATTCACTTGTCAGAAATAGCTCACTAGTTTTGACTATTTTCTGAACTTAAGAGATTTTAAGAGGTTATTCTGTCTTGCCAAACTGATGTGAAAGTAAAAACAAACTCTAGTTCTTAAGTTCTCTTGAGACTTTCGACTTTCTCCAAATTAAAACCATATTAGGCAGTGGAATCTATTTGTGAACATCCTGAGGCACAGATACTTGTTCCCGGTTGACCAAGAAAATAAGAACTTGTTTACCTCAGCCCATTCTGTGGATCCCAGAAGTCCAAATTCTTCTGCATCCCAGCTGGCGAAAATGATAGTTCTCCGGGGTCTCCATCCTGTAATCATTGTTAACACACACAGTTAGGAACACCTCCCTAGAATGAAGGAGAAGTGGTGTGTCACCTTTTGTCCTCACCCACCAAAGAAACATCACTTACCTCTACTCATCAGTTTTCCAAAACTCTGAGCAATTTCTTGTAAAGAAGCAGTGCCAGTGGTTGGGTCAATACCTCCAAACACCCAGGAATCCCGATGACCTCCCAGAATAACATACCTGTCTGGAAAAGAATGTGTTCAAAAGAACTACAACTTCGAATGCATTATAAATAGTTGTAATTGACGTGTTTTTTAAATTAAACTTCCTCTTGCTTGAGTTTCCTCCATAGGAAAACATTAACGCTACAAGGGAGAGTCTTATTTTAGATTAGTACAAATATTTTTTCAAATGTAGTTGTTTTATATCAGCCAAAGAAAACATCAAATGTTGAGTAAAATGATCTTCTCTCACTCTTTTAATGTTTGTAAAAACAAAGTGCTTTTAAAAATTCTCAGACTCACCGGGTTCCACAGATCCTCTGATAGTTCCGATTACGTTGTAAATCCTTGTAATTTTATTGTTATTATGAACATGCATTTTAACCTTCCTAGAATTTCAAAAGGAATAAATTACTTCACATAGAGCATTATCTCTAAAAGCTTTCTTTCAACATTTAATTATGAAACATATCAGAAGTACAGAAAACTCTATAATTATAATAGTTCAATGAATTGCCATATAGCCACCACCTAAATTAAATAATGGTTAATATTGCTGAACTATTTGCAAGTTGCAGACATCATGACATTTTACTCCTAACTACTTACGCATGCACCTTACAGTAAGATTTTAAAAACTCAATATTTTGCCCTAACTGGTTTGGCTCAGTGGATAGAGCATCAGCCTGCAGACTGAAAGGTCCCAGGTTCGATTCCGGCCAAGGGCATGTACCTTGGTTGCGGGCACATCCCCAGTAGAGAGTGTGCAAGAGGCAGCTGATCGATGTTTCTAACTCTCTATCCCTCTCTCTTCCTCTGTAAAAAATCAATAAAATATATTTTTAAAAAAACACCTCAATATTTTATATTCTTCCTCCCTATAACTATATTGACATTTAATTAAAATTCAAAGTAGTCTATTATTCAAAATGTTTTGGGTATTCATTCTAAAATGTTAAGTATAGGCTACTTAATTACAAACAGAAGGAATACAGCCATTATGTATTTAAGGACAAGTAAGTCTTACATGTGTCTTTGTATTTACATTAATTTCTGCTCTTTAATAGTTTTCTTCAAGATTATTGAAGTAGTGTATCAGTTACAGAGCTGGCCCAGTGCTGCCAATAAGAAGCATGACAAACTCTATGATTAAATGGAAATTGGGGAAGTGCCTATTAATATGTACAAGACAACCGTACAATGAAACTCCCAGGCCATCACTGTTGATTCTGATTTGGGGAAATCTTTTAAATATTTATTCATGAATTATAATCAACTTAATTAGAATTCAAGGGAAAATACATTCACATTTCATGAATCAAAAACGACATGGGAAAATGCTGAGTCTTTTTCACAAGGGGACAAAATTTACCTATAGAGGGGTGCCGGGTGCGGGGAGTGGGGATCCCAGCAGTTTCTAATTTGTGGTTCATTTTTTAATGGAAGAACTAACAAGCTGTCAAAACCTATAAATTGTTAAGTGCAGATTCAGCTTTTTTCCCTTTAAAAGTATATTGCGCTTCTGACTGCATTTTTAATTTATGTGCAATATTCAACTAAAATGCTTTTGGGGGAAACTAATCAACGGTTGATGTTTTCTTTTGTGTGTTTTTGTTTTTTTCATTTTAAGACATCAAGTAAAAGATTTATTTTTGCTGATAAAAATGAATAGCAAAGCCCTAGCTGGTTTGGCTCAGTGGATAAAACATCGGCCTGCTGACTGAAGGGTCCCAGGTTTGATTCCGATCAAGTGCACAAGCCTTGGTTGTGGGCTCCATCCCCAGTAGGGGGCGTGCAGGAGGCAGCCAAGCAATGATTCTTATCATTGATGTTTCTATCTCTCCCCCTCTGAAATCAATAAAACATAGATATTTTTAAAATAGCTGGGGGGGGGAGGGGGAGAAACAGAAACATGTTTCAAGGTGTTTCTAAACATATGAGCCTAAAATCTATTAGAAACCCAAATTCATTGATATTATGTCACTAAATGAACTTAAAGAAAGTCAACAGTGAGGAATGGGGGAAAAAATCTGTTATTTTTAATTAGAAAAATTTATTTTAATGAACATGAACAGAGGCTATCTGCTCAGATTCTCAAAAGAGCTCATCCACATCTTTAATTTTTATGTCTTTCTAATGTTTAGTACCACTGACTCCAAATGCCTAAATATCCACATGCTTTTCCTGTTATCACTTCAAACTCATCATGTTCTAAATCAACTGAACTCTAGAATGTAGGCTCCACAGAGCAGGAATTTTTGCCTGTTTTATTTACTGCTGAATTCCCAGTACCCAGAATGGTGCGTGGGGTATAGAAAATGCTCAGTAAATATTTGTGAAATTTGCGGCCGGATGGTTCCCTGGCTGAGCATTGACCTATAAACCAGGAGCTCATGGTTTGATTCCTGGTCAGGGAATATGCCTGGTTTGCTGCTTGGACCCTAGTAGGGGCCATGCAGGAGGCAGCCAATCAGTGATACTCTCTCATCATTGATGTTTCTATCTCTCCCTCTTCCTCTTTGAAATCAATAAAAAAAATATTTTAAAAATACTTTTTTTTAATACACTCCTGTAAGGAAAAATTAAGACCTCAGTTCATCCATCAGAGTTACCTCTGACTATTATTGTCCTTAGACAATCTTACAGCTCTGTAGAGACAGAAATTAACTTACAGAAACATGACTGTAATGCAGATCATCCACATCCACTGAAATGCACAATCTCCCTAGTGAACTTTAACTGACTTCCCTTCCCCACTGTGAACGAAATCTGTTTTTCTGCTGTTAAATACACTCCTTTCAGCATCCTGATGAGCTGATGTTTTGGTATGAACTTTGAATTCTCCTTTGAATCAGTTTTAACTCCTTTCAAGTTCCCTTATTAATTAAATTCAATTTGGACACATGTTCATTTCATATTTGTGTAAGAATTGTGGTTTTACTTTTTTTAAAAAAAATCATTTTATCATTTTTGGATCCCAATGTGATGCACAATGAATTCACCTGGAAGACCAGGTATGGGCAGCTTCAACCCAGACATGTCTTTGGCTCTCCGAAGTAAATCCAAGTAGCAATAGAGTTCTAATTTCGCTGACTGACCATACCTATAAATTTTTTTCTGCTGATTGTGTTTTGTTTGTTTCTAGTTTGTTTATGGCACATAAATTATTCCCCAGTGGCAGCTGTGGCTAGGAATTTGATTTCATGTCCTGTCATTTGGTAATCTCTGTAAATGGATTATTAGATAATCAAGATCTCTTTGGGGTGAGATCTAACATTGTGTTTTTTAGTAATTTTCTTTGTGTTTTTTTTTTGTCCATTTTGAGCTCAAATCAATTAAAACTTCTGTGCCCATGTTGAAGGAGGTCAGCCTTTTTATATGTTGACCAGAGAATTTTTATGTTTTTGAGTTTTCCCTTGAACTGTGACTAAAAATAGAACTAAAGCAACATCTTTTCTGCTTTCACTGTGGCTGTTTCTGTTTGTAAATTAAAAAGGCCTTTATCTTTCATTGTGTATGTTCTCTTACATCTGGAGGACATTAATAAATTAATAATAAAATCTTTATTTTTATATATCAAAGGAACTCTGTTCAGATTGAGTTATAGAGATAAATAAGCACTTATGTAAAAAATTCTAAACTGTCTATAAAATAAGGAAATTGAACTTCTAATACTTTGAAAGTTCTGAAATAAAAAGAATTAGCCCTGGCCTGGTAGCTCACTTGGTTAGAGCGTTGTCCCAATACGCCAAGGTTACGGGGTCAATCCCCAGTCAATGCACATAAAAGAAGCAACCAATTAAGCATAAATAAATGGAACAACAAATTGATGTTTCTTTTTCCCCTCCTTTCTTTAAAATCAATAAGAAATAAGAAATTACAGAAACTAAAAAACTAAGAATTCACACTGTTAATGTAAATTCTTAGCAAACAAGACTGATTAATGATCTTGGTTTAATAAAATCAGCTTTATCTTCCCTGATTTATCACTGTGACATGGCCTTTTCTCTCTGCATTTCAGGCAAATCAGACTCCTTCACATCTGACCGGGCCATGCTGTTCCACTGCTCTGTTCCAGCTGATCTCTCTCACTGGCAGTTCCTGCCTGTCTCGATTCAGTAGAAAATAAACTCTTTCTGTAAAATTAAGCTCAGTGAACACGTCCTCTTATCACTCTTCTGTACAACAGTGCTGTAATGTGTTAATAATAATTAAAATAAGTGTATTGAGCTCCACAATAATTATGTGCTTGCCCATTTGATTCACTTAACTCACCCAGTAAGTGATCAGTAATATTGCCTCCTTTCTCTTTTACTCCTCTCCCTTAAGTTAGCCTCGTGTTTCATACGTGTAACATTTTAAAAGTGATAGGGAAACTGTTTTAAAACTTTAAGTGAAAAGGAAAGTTAAAATAGTGAACCTTTAACTCAAAAGTCTCAATTTTTGAGACGTTATGAAATAAATTTCTTCCACTACTGGAAGAAATTTGATACATGATTCTGTATGTGTTTCTTAAGTGATATGAAATGATCAGTTATTCATTATTTTAAAAAATGAGGAAAAGAAGATAAGCAAAATATACCTGGTAGAACAGTTATCTTGACATTTTCCCATTAAACACAGAATGCTTTTCCAGGCTACTAAAATACAGTGAAATTACCTGAAAGAAGCGCGCCCTGTGAAGCCTGGCCCGACATTGTAATCCACATTAAGACTTCCTTTCCAGCTGTCATCTGGTGAAGCGGTTCCTCCCATATGGCTGCCAGGAGAAAATGAAACACAGAAAAAGGCTGAGAAAAAAATCATGAAGTGTGATAACGAGATACTCATTCATACACGTAACAGATACTTATTGAGCATTTACTAAGTGCCAGGTACTGTCCAAACTCCCTTCCCTTGTGGAGTTGACATTCTAAGGAGAGTCATAACTGAGACACATAAGCAAAACATTTCATGTGTTAGTGATAAGAGCTAAGGAAAAATATATAGAGGAAAAGGAAAGCTGTGGCCTCCTTTTGACTATATTTATGTAGGGATGCATTAGGTCCAAGAAATCCTAAAAATATGAAATACATGACTGTGCTAAGAAGAAATTAATTTATAGAGAGGCCACTCGTGTAGTAGGTATTCATAAAGCAATTATTAAATGTTATTGATACAGGCTTTTAAAAATATATAAGGCGATTTGAAAAGGAAAGGAACATCAATTATAGAATACATATAGCAGCAAACATTAATATAATGTTTACCATATTTTAGATACTTTACATGCATGATCTTTTCTACTTCTTATAATAATCCTATCGGGGAGGAACTATTTCTGTCCTCATTTTACAGATAAAGGAACTGAATCGAGGAAGATTGAGTAAATGGTCCAAGTTCACATATCCAAGTGGTGGGCAATATATTTTTAAAATGCAGGTCAAGTATAAATATCAAATGAATATTTAAGAAAATCCAACTGCTTCAAAAATCTCAAATCAGTATTTTTATCTTTGGGCATAGTTTTGCTTTTGAGACTCCTTTGTAGCAAAAGAGTAATGTTTTCCTAGGCACTAAACTGACCGCATTTATGGGGGTAGGGGAAAAGGTGCGCTCTCTTATTCTACTTCAGAAGCTATTTTGATCTGATACTTTTAACATAATCAGGTTACATTGATTTTAGAATATCAAATGAACACATTAGTGCAAACTATCTTGATCTCAAATCCAACAAGAAAACTGTACCGTAATAATATTTCTGCATCATTATATCCAATGGGATGTACAGGGATTTTGGGTATTCCCACTCCTTCTTCAACATCCAATCTAAAGGTGTACTCTGCAAAAATAAATTACATAAAATGAAAACAATTGAAGAATCTGAGCCAGGGGTATAAAAATACTTTTTGTTACTATTGCAGATTTGCTATACATTTGACATTATATTCAAACAAGGCCCGGTGCACAAAAATTCGTGCACTTGGAGGGTCCCTCAGCCTGGCCTGCACCCTCTCGCAGTCTGGGACCCCTCAGGGGATGTCCACCTGCTGGCTTAGGCCTGCTCCCCCAGGGAACGGGCCTAACCTGTTAGATATCCTTAGCGCTGCCGCAGAGGCGGGAGAGGCTCCTGCCACTGCCACTGCGCTGGCCAGCCATGAGCCGGCTTCTGGTTGAGTGGAGCTCCCCCTGAGGAAGCGCACTGACCACTAGGGGGCAGCTCCTGCATTGAGCGTTCCGTCATTCCTGGTCGTTCTGCTATTAGGGTCAATTTGCAATATTACCCTCTTATTATATAGGATTAAAGTTCTGCCCAAATCAATTATTGTTTTAACTAATATGATCTATTGAATCCAACAGTAAGAAATTAAACCATTTACATTCTAATTTAAAAATCAATTATAGGTATTGCAGATTCCCAAACTTGTTTTGATATTTCACACAATTCTCATGAATTTTAAAAGCATATTTTATTTTCTCAAGAATATCCTGAATCCTTGGAGAAGCTTCAGTTAACCAGAAATCTAGAAAATGTGTCCGTATTCTGAAACTAGAAATAACTATAAAAAATTTAAAGGGAATTCAAGAGATCTTGGGAATAAGTGGTAAATCTCTTATTCAAACATAATATTCTCATTAAAGAAAGGTTGAAACATATTATCAGGCTTAAAAACCTCCTTGGGACTTTGTCCACCAAAATAGAATTTTATAACACTGAAACACCTATTTTAAAAAAAGGTTTCAAACAAATGACATCAGATTCTACCTTAAGAAACTAGAAAACAAAGATAAATTAAAAATCAGCAATAGGAAAGATCAGTGCACAAATATAAGAAATAAGAAACAGAAAAATGATAGAGGTTATCAATAAAACTCAAAGATAGTCCTTTGAGAAGATCAATAAAACTGATAAATCTTTAGCAAGATGGATCAGGAAAAAAAGAAAAGTACTTAATTGCTCATATCAGGAATAAAGAGAATATCACTCTAGTACAGGGGTGGGCAAACTTTTTGACTCGAGGGCCACAATGGGTTCTTAAACTGGACCGGAGGGCCGGAACAAAAGCATGGATGGAATGTTTGTGTGAACTAATATAAATTCAAAGTAAACATCATTACATAAAAGGGTATGGTCTTTTTTTTTTTTTAGTTTTATTCATTTCAAATGGGCTGGATCCGGCCCGCGGGCCATAGTTTGCCCACGGCTGCTCTAGTACCTGCAAACATAAAATTAAGAATATTATGAACAACTCTATGCCCATAAATTCAATAACTTAGATGAAATGGACTAAAAATCCTTGAAGACACAAAACTATCAAAGCTCACTCAAGAATAAATAGGTAACCTAAATAGCCATATATATATTAAAGAAATTGAATTTGTAGTTAAAAGCATTTCTACAAACAAAACTTCAGGCCTGGTGGATCTACTGGGGAATTCTACCAAACATTCATAGACAAAATCAATTCGATTCTTATAAACTCTTGCATTTAAAAAAAAGAATATGAGATAGTCACCAATTCATTCCATGAGGACAACATTAGTGACAACAAAATGAGGACTGAGATATTACAAGAAAATGAAGCTATAAGCTGATATCCCTCCTTGAGGACTACAGACTAATATTTTAACAAAATTTCAGCACAAATCCAGGAATATACCAATATATAAAAGGATAATGCAATGTGACCAACAAGGATGGAAAGGTTGGTTTAACATTAAAAAAACCAATCCATTTAACTTAAAGATAAATAACTTATTTTTATTTCAATAGATGGAGTAAAAGCATTTGACAAAATCCAGCATACACTTCTAAATACATGTGTTAAGATAAAAACTCTTCCCACATTACCACAGAAGTAAACATCCTTAATCTGACCAAAACAATCTGTAAAAAACATACAGCCCAAACGGTTTGGCTCAGTGGATAGAGCGTCGGGCGTCGGCCTGCAGACTACAGGATTCCAGGTTCGATTCCCGTCAAGGGCATATGCCCGGGTTGCGGGCTCGACCCCTCGCCCCCAGTATGGAGGCAGCCAATCAAGGATTCTCATCATTGATGTTTCTATCTCTCTCCCTCTCTGAAATCAATGAAAAAAAAATATTACAAACAAGCAAAGTCCAGGATGGGTATCACACTTAACAGAGAAAGACTTCTTAAGGCAGGAACAAGGCACAGATATTTGTTGCAATAAATTTTTTTAAAAAATATATTTTATTGATTTTACAGAGAAGAAGGGAGAGGGATAGATATATTTTATTGATTTTTTTACAGAGAGGAAGGGAGAGGGATAGAGAGTTAGAAACATCGATGAGAGAGAACCATCGATCAGCTGCCTCCTGCACACCCCCTACTGGGGATGTGCCCGCAACCAAGGTACATGCCCTTGACTGGAATCGAACCTGGGACCCTTCAGTCTGCAGGCCGACACTCTATCCACTCAGCCAAACTGGTCAGGGCAATAAATTTTTTCAATTAAGTACTAGAGGTATTAGCTAGTGCAATCTATAATAATAAAAGCATAACATGCTAATTAGACTGGATGGCCTGACGGCCGAACGACCTTCCGGACAACCTTCTGGACGAAGCTGGGGCTGCGAGGGCTGAGCCCCTTGCATGAATTTTATGCATCAGGCCTTTAGTAAGGCAATAAAAAGAAATAAAAGGCATCCAGATTGGAAACAAAATGTTTTTATTTGCAAGTGACATGATTATCTATGTAAAAACTCTGATGGAATCTACAAAAACTCTATTAGTGAGTTTAACATGTTTGCAGGATACAATGTCAATGTATTTCTTCTAAAAATATAATAGTATTTCTATGTACCAGAAATACAGCTGAAAACTGAAATTTAAAATGTAATTTAAAGATAACAAAACTATAAAATGCTTATGGGTAAATGTGCAAATAAACATATATATGATGTACTAGTAAAGTGAAACTTTAAACATGCTGAGAGAAATTAAAGAATACCTAAATAAATGGAGAATTGTACCATGTTCAGGGATCTGAAGATTCAAATTAATATATATATATCAATTCTCCTCAAACTGATCTATAGATTTAATTCAATGTCTTTCAACCTCCCAGGAGGCTTTTTTTTGTGAAAATTGGTAAACTGGTTTTAAAATTCAAATGGAACTGACCTGGAATACTCACAAAAACTTTGAAAAAGAAATGCAACTTGGAGAACTCACATTTCTATCTATATATATAAATAGGTAATATGCAAATTAGCCAGGCATCACGACTGGCTCAAGGAGGCTGCATCACGAATGCTCAGGAGGAACTGCGCACGCAGATGGGTGGGAGGGGACTGCGTGCCGCCCCCAGTCCCAGCAGACACACACACACCAGGGGTGGGGACATGCTCTGAGCCATGACACACACACACCAGGGGTGTGGACGTGCTCCGAGCAGCCCCGCAGCATGGCTCAGAGCATGCCCCCACCCCAGCGAACACACACACACCAGGGGTGGCGACGTGCTCCGAGCAGCTGCGTGGCATGGCTTGGAGCATGCCCACGGTGGGTGGCAGCAGTGGCCAGAGCGAAGCAGCCCCAGTCCCGGATGCCTGGCGGTGGCTGGAGCAAACCAGCCCAGGTCCCGGATGCCTGGCAGCAGCTAGAGCGTAGCAGCCCAGGTCCTGGGTGCCGGAGGGAAACCGGGGCTGGCAGCCAGGGGAAGGAGGGCCTATTCTTGCATGAATCTTCGTGCATCGGGCCTCTAGTTAGAATATAATGTTAAAAGATTGATGATACTACGTGTTGGTACGGAGGTGGCAACTGGAGCACTCATACACTGCTGCTGGAATATAAAACGGTGCAACCACTTTGGAAAACAATTTAAAAGTTTCTTTAAATGCTAAATATACCTCTATCACATTACCCAGCCATTCCATTCCTATGTATTTACTCAAGAGAAATGAAAGCATGCATACAAAGAGGCTTGTATACAACTCTTTAGAGCAGCTTTATGTATTACTAGAGGCCTGGTGCACGAAATTCATGCAGGATGCCGTCCTTAGGCCTGGCTGGCTATCAAAGCATGAGCATCTGGCATGAAAGGGCAGGTCCCAGCTGACCTCTGGCCCCTGGGCAGCATCTGGGCCCGTGCACCCTCCTCTGCCTAAGTCACGGTGCCCAAGTCCCCACGTGGAGATGTGGTGAGCGTGACTGGACGTCATGGGCCAGGGTGCAGCGTGGGCCTCTGGGCCACCCAGTGGTGCTGCATGGAAGCTGGGCAGGCAGTGTGCTCTCTCCCAGCTGGCCTCGCAGACTGGCTCCTGTGCAAACCCACGGGGAGCCCGCCCGCCCCCTGCGGTCCCAGCGGCTGTGGCCTGGCTCACCCGGAAGAGGCCGCGTGGGTGCGGGGTGGGCTCCTTGTGGGCACCTGACACCTGTGCGCGAGGGCTTCCCCAGCGCACAAGCCCTGGTGTCCCAGGGGAGGGTAGCAGGGGGAGTGGGAGCAAGCTTGGTGGACACCCTGCATTCTCACCGCACCTCTGTCCCTCTCACCCCCACCCCCAGGTAGCTGGTGAGAGGTCGCAGAGTGTTGCAGGCGCCTGCCATGTTCCTCACCGCCGCCCTGGTGGTCAGCGCACATCATAGCAAGTGGTCGAACTCCCAGTCGTGGGGACAATTTGCATATTAGGCTTTTATTATATAGAATAGCCCCAAACTGCAAGCAATCCAAATTTTAATCAACAAGTAAATGAATAAACAAACTAGTATATCTATTTAATGGAATACTACTCAGCAAAAATGGAATGAATTATTGACACATATCAACAACATGGACCTCAAAATAAGTATGCTGACAGGAATCAGATCAGTGGTTGTGTAGGGGTTAGCAGGGAGGGGGCAGGAAGAGTTGAGAATGAGCCATTACAAAGAGATGAGAGGAGTCTGGCCGGTGTTGCTCAGTGGTTAAGCGTTGACCTATGAACCAGGAGGTCAGGGCACATGCCCAAGTTTCGGGCTCGATTCCCCACTGTGGGACGTACAGGAGGCAGCAATCAATGATTCTATCTCTCTCCCCCTCTCCCTTCCTCTCTGAAATCAACGAAAATATATTTATAAAAAAAGAGATGCGAGGAAACTTTTGGGTTATAAATACATTCATTAATTTGATTGTGGAGATGGTTACATAGATGTCAAAACTTTTCACACTTTACATATTAAATACCACAAAAAAAGTCTCATTGGTATTTTTAAAAATAGAAATGTATGATCTAGAGAAGCATGAAATCACTAGGCAATTCTGAAACCCTACATCCTAGTTTGGATTTGAGGATCTGTGTTTCTGAACCTCCTTTCTACTAAAAGTAGGGAGAGAACTGAACTGACCTTCCTTTCTCCATGTCCACACCTCATGAAAATTTAAAACTAAAATAATACAGGGGAAATGTCTGAATTCCTAGCAAGAGCAATCCAAATTATTATTACACACAGCTTTAATGTTGTTCTGTAGATGCTTGCTTCTATGTCTTCTAAGGACAAGTACTATTTTTGCAGAAAAGGGGAAAACCATGACAGGCTCATCCCTTACCTTTAGCTGGGTAGCCAGGAGTGAGCGGGTCACCAGCGCCATTCAAATTTAACACATTCCCTCTCTGGGCTGCAGTTCCAGGAAGGTTCCATCCTTTGGGATACGGCTGTACCTCAGGGGCAGAGTAGTCAGCTGGATCTGAGTACAAGATGATGCCTATGGCTCCTGCCGACATGGCATTGTTAACCTGCAGGGGCAACGTGCAGTCCATGACGTAGAAACGGCAAATGATTGGCTCATTCACCTAAGCGGAAATCACCTTAATAATGCAAGCAAATTCAGACACTGCTTTTTATCATGCTGTTACTCATTTAGTTCTCTTTGCCTTGAATATAATGTCTCGGTAGACCTAGCAACTCTCATTTATTCTACGCAACTCCAAATCAGTTATCAGTTCTGGGAAACATTCCTTCTGTTCCTAAAACTGAAAAATTAATGTTTCCTGCCCTGGGTGGTTAGCTCAGCTGGTTAAGCAGTGGTTCTCAACCTTCTGGCCCTTTAAATACAGTTCCTCATGTTGTGACCCAACCATAAAATTATTTTCGTTGCTACTTCATAACTGTAATGTTGCTGCTGTTATGAATCGTAATGTAAATATCTGATATGCAGGATGGTCTTAGGCGACTCCTGTGAAAGGGTCGTTCGACTGCCAAAGGGGTCGCGACCCACAGGTTGAGAACTGCTGGGTTAGAGCATTGTCCCAATATGACAAGGACTCGGTTTTGATCCCCAGTCAGGGCACATACAAGAATGAACCAATAAATGCATAAATAAGTGGGACAACTAATCTCTCTCTCCTCTCTCTCTCTCTCTCTCTCTCTCTCTCTCCTCTCTCCTCTCTCCTCTCTCTCTCTCTCTCCCCTCCCCCATCTATCTCAATCTTTCAATCTCTCCCTCTTCCTCTCTCTCTAAAAATAAATAAATAAATAAATAAGGGAAAAGTTAAAATTAATGCCTCCCCTCTTTGTACTTTTATATTTTGTACATATTTCTATTTTAGGATGAATAAAAGTATTTTAAGATCTTTTAAATATCTTTTCTCCCCTGGGTTAGCATTCTAAGAGGTTAGTGTTGTTATTAGCATTCCCATTCTATATATAAGAGAATACTGGCACAGAGGGTGTTTTTAAGAACTATCCACCCTCCAAAATCTGGCACATCATAGAATAACCACTCCCAATATGCGTGGAACTAAACTAATTTGAAATTATCTGCAGAATAGTCAAATTGTTTAAAAATTGGCCACAGTGGTTCTGTAAATGTTTTCATAATTATCCAAACTGACCATGAATAAGAGAATATACCCTATACAGCAGTGGTTCCCAACTTATTTGGCCTACCGCCCCCTTTTCCAGAAAAAATATTACTCACCCCCCTGGCCCCTGGAAATTAATTTTTTTTAAATTTTAATAGCAATTAAACAGAAAGTTATATGTATTAATGTTTCTACCTTTTTCGTAAAATATAGTAAAGAAAGGTGTAAATTAGAAACATTGAAGTTTGAAATTATGAAACTATTTATTGAACTCAGAATAGAAAGGTAATACAAAAAAAGTTAAAACAAATGAACCTGTGGCCATCACCGCCCCCCTGGATCGCTGCAGCGCCCACCAGGGGGCGGTACCGCCCACTTTGGGAATCACTGCTATACAGTGATGGCGAACCTTTTGAGCTCTGCATGTCAGCATTTTGAAAAACCCTAACTTAACTCTGGTGCCGTGTCACATATAGAAATTTTTTGATCTTTGCAACCATAGTAAAGCAAAGATTTATATTTTTGATATTTATTTTATATATTTAAATGCCATTTAACAAAGAAAAATCAACCAAAAAAATGAGTTCACGTGTCACCTCTGACACGCGTGTCATAGGTTCACCATCACTGCCCTATAAGATACTAAATTATTCTTTACCAGAAGTGTTCTAGCAAAAGATAGATAACCATCAGTTTTGATCAACTAAAACATTCAGAAAGCACTCATATATAATGTTAGAGAGAGCACAATCTGTTACAACTTCTCTGAAGGGTAATCTGATAGTGCATATCAAACTTTTTAAACAATATACCGTATGAATCAGCCATTCAACTTCTAGGAATCAATACTACAAAAATATCTTCATACACATGTTCAAATACATGTTCACAATGGAATTATTTGTAATATTAACAAATTTAAGACACCAAGCATCTGTCAACAGAGAAATAGTTAAATAAGTTGCTATCAATTCTGTGAAATATTATGTAGTCATCTAAAATAATGAGAAATTTGCTTGATAAACAGTTACATAGAAATTACTAAGTATGAGTCACTATCTGAAATGCTTTCCTACACCAAGTTATTTAATCCGAACAAGGATTCTAGGAGTTCGGTACTATTGTTAGCATTTTCATTTCATACATGAGGAAACACTGGAACAGAAAGGTTAAGCAACTTGCTCACAGTAAAAGGCTTAGGGAATAGAAGTCCAGACTAAACCAGAACCCAGGCTATATGGATGTAGAGTCCCATACACTTACCGTGGAAGAATACCCACAAGTTATTGCTGAGGGAAAAAATAAAGTTATACAATGTATAGTGTCTGATGCCCTCTTTGTTAAAAAATTATATATGTAAAAATCATTATAGAGACATGTATTTATATTCATATTTCACAGAATTAGGTCTGGAAAGAGCTGTTAAAATTATGGCTGGGCAATGAAGTTGGGTAATACAGGAGCACTTTTTGGGCTTTTTTGTTGTTGTTTTTCTTAATCCTCACCCAAGGATATTTTTTTTCCATTGATTTTCAGACAGATTGGAAAGGAGGGGGGTGGAGAGAGAAACATTGATGTGACAGAGACACATAGATTGGTTGCCTCCTCGCGTGGGGGGGGGGGGCAGGGTTGAGCCTGTGACAGAGGTGCGTGCCTTTGACCGGAATTGAACCCGAGACCCTTCAGTCTGCCAGCCGATGCTCTAAACACTGAGCCAAACTGACCAGGGCAAGCTTTTAAAAAAATTCATATAAATGTCCTTCAATTAAATAAAAGAGCAAATATTGCATGGCCAGTGGGGTTCAGTAGTTGTGCATTGACCCATCCACCAAGAGGTCTCCAGTTCAATTCCCAGTCTGGGCACATGTCCAATTTGCAGGCTCAAGTCCCAGTAGGGGGCATGCAGGAGGCAGCCAATCAATGTTGATGCATTGATATTTTTTTCTCTCTTCCTCTCTAAAAGCAATAAACACATTTTTTAAAAAGAGGGGGAAAGCAAATATTGCTTTGGTAATAAAATTATTGAAAATAATTTCCCTTTCTAAATATATGAGATAACATAAAAACAGGATTTTCTGTGCAACCATGGAAATAGCATATATATATATATATATATATATATATACACACACACACACACACACACACACATATAT